AAAAAGTACGAAATACTGTGAGCATCACCAAAATGTGACACAGAGACTCAAAGTAAGCAAATGCCATTAAAATTGGTGTCAATAGGCTTGCTCCATGTAGCCTTGCCACAAATCTTCAATTTGGCTTTTTCTGCATTTTTTTTAAAAGGCAGTATCTGTAAAGCACAATAAAACTAGACACACTTGTACACCCAAGCTGGAATCCAGGCAGTGGGATTCCTGGGCCTGCACTTTTAATTTTAAACTGCTGTACCTTATGCAGTCTACATATATAACGCCTATCAACTTTTATGTCAATACAACATCAATAAAGTCTTTCAAATACTGGAAACAAAGTGACATACCCTCTTCCAAAATAAATTAGGAACTATGCACTTAGCCACTCCCTACACATTAAAAATAAAATGGGTTATCCTCAGTGTGTATAGGACATCATCATTTTGAAGTTATCCACCACAAACTTCTCAATTTATTTTCAGAGTCTACAATTTTAGAATGTTTTCACGTGGCCAGACCACCCAAATTATGAATGAATTAAAATGTTAGCCTTTCTGCACAATCAACAGAAAATTAGATTGTGCCAAAAGATAAAACTTCTTCTGGATACTATTTTGAAGTTTTCGCTTAACTATTTCTCTTCATCCTCTCTCCATTATACAAATGATCTTAAAATTTTAAATCCCAACTATTAAAAAATGATCTGAAAGAAATACACAACGCATGGCAATAATTGTCCAGTCTATACATTTGGCAATTCCTCATACAATGTCTCTTAACTCTTCAAGTATCTTTCAGTTTTAACTCTCATACAATGATTTAAAAATCTCACGTCTGAATCTCATTTCTCAACCTAGACTATGTTCTTTAAAAGTACAAACAGCACCCAGGTCTCAAATATTTTTAATCAAAGCAAGACTCTCAATATCCTTCCTTGTGTAATAAAAGGACAACAATTAAAAAATAATATTTGTACTGTTCTCAAGAATTCAACAGTATCATACAGTACAAGGAGCTATATTCAATTTCTTGTAATAAGCTACAATGGAAAAGAACCTGAAAATATATGTGTGTGTGTATATGTATACCCGATTCACTTTGCTGTACATCTGAAATTAACACTGCAAATCAATTACACTTCAATAAAAAATAAAATTAAAAAATACAACAGTATCAAAAAAGTGTAACAATTTGCCAAATCATTTTTCTAGTTAAAAAATAAGATGTCTATGCTTCTGAAAAGATACTGCAGGATTCTCAGCAGGTGCTCTAAGAAGAAATGAATAAAACGGAACCCAAGATGAACTGTTCCAGAAAAGAAATCCAGCAACCACGTGTCCAAAAGAATTAAAGAAATGTAAATGTATGAAAATATTTAGAAATCAGCACAAAGAACCTTGTCCTCCCTGACACCGTGTAATGAAGTAGTTACGGGCAATCCACAAGCCTGAGAGGCTAATCAATAAACCTCATCACCTCATTAAAAAATAGAAAAGATCTTACCTCTAGATAAAAAAGTTATTAAAAAGGATTTCATGAGAAATCTGTGCCAAAAAAAAAAAATCACACCTTGAAGAAGGTACAATGTATCAAAAAAAAGGCAAACACCACCTTACCATGTCAAGGAAGATAACCATTATCTACATTTTAGTACCCCAAAACCAAAACTGTATGCACAATTTATATTCACTCATTCACCAAGTTTTCTACATATAATCTGTATTATGTAAAAATCTGAATTCAAGGCAACTTTGCAGCAATCCAAATTGTCATTTGCTACTTTCAACTTTTGTAAGTAATAGTTTTATTAATAAACTACTATATGTCAAAAATTATTAGCCTTTCCTGATTCCGTACTCAATACAATTCAAATTTTACTATTATGGTTTTAAATGATTAATATGAAGACAACTTCCCTTCCATTTTTCTATCCTGAAAGTTGCTTTGGACCTACTTTTACACAGACCACTTTTCGTAGATTTGACTTATCTGAATATGCAACAGACTGGTCTACCATAGGATCAGCTAGTTATCTGAGGTCTATTCCAACAGCATGTGATGCATAACCAGTTCAGCGTGATAAGGAAGTTCACTATCCTCCTAAAGGATGCAAAAGCAGTATAATAAACTACACTTTCATGCTCTTCAATAAATAAACCTATAAAGCACACACGGAACAGGGAAAAACCGGTCCCATTACTAACTCATGTGTTATCCTTCTTACAAATCTTGGTACAGCTATCAAATAAAGCTTACAATTTAAGGCTGTAGTTCTCTATACTTAAAAAGTGGCTCACTTCAGTTCAGCAGAAGACTTTCTGCAGCTAAGGAACTGACTGAACTGTATGTGGCTTAATCAGAGCAATAATCGCTATTGAAAGTACTTCCTTAGGTTGGTACTATCATGGGGATATGGAGTATGTATTTAAAAGCAGTGACGATGAAGATGCTGATGGAGGGAAAGTTCATGATTGTAATATATGGCCAGTAAACAGAAGAAATGGGGAGAAAATAAAGCAAATTAAGGAAAGGTCTAAGTGGTAATGATGGTTAAAAATCACTATTTAAAACAACAATCTTCACAACACAACACCTTTTATGCTCTAGAATGAAGATACAAATTTTAAAAAGAATGCTGCAACGACTTCCCGGTTGACTCATGTCTCTTTCCTACCAGAAAAACACATCTACATTTTCACAATCCCAAACACTTCATTCAAGAATCAAAAAAATGGTAGGTAATGAATGAATAACTGAGGACAGTTTGGGGGACAATCAGTTCAGTAAGGGGAAGACAAGTTCGAATCCAAAATAGTAACTGAATAGAACAATGTACTGTTAAGTACCCCCTAAGTAGTTTACGGTATCTTCCCCCTTACCCTCCATTTAAAATAACGTGGTGAAGTTCGTCTTTGTAAAGGCTCAATTACCTAAATTTCATCTTAAATTAAGTATCTCTACACATAATGAAGATCAGGACCAGGTAGACATTAAAGCGTCGTTGCCCCTTACATTAATGACTATCCATGCATGATCATATTCTGCAAATGATTCCTGAATAGCATCAATAATCACCCACTCCAATTACTTCGAATCATAGCCTTTGGGAAATGGCATTTAAAAACCCAAAGATGAGAAAAGGTCATCGGACTCGGCAATACATTGCTGGGGAAAAGAAGCGACCTAGACTGCGCGCGGTACCAACATTCTCTCCCTCTCTCCCTCCTCCCCGCCTCCCCGTCAGGTGATCAGTTATTTAGGACCACTACCACCCACATATCGACAAGTGGTTCATTAAATTACACGTATTATCAGAAGAACGAATTCCAGGCTTCTCCTTTCAAACTATGCATAAGGAGTCGACAGTTTGGGTCCCAGGCACAAAAGCGCGCGGCCGCGGGAGCGTGGATGGAGCGCCAACTCCCGGTCTGCAGCAGCGGGGACCAGGCTCGGCCTCCTGGCCAAGGCCGGCACCGGCTACCCGGACCTGGGCCCAAAGCTCGATGCCGGAGGGCCAGGTCGGGGCCTGCGGGCTGGGCCTCCCCGCCAGCGCCCGCCGTGCCTCTGGGCCTGCGCGCCCGCGTGCCCGCGCGGCGCGGGACTCACCCCGAGGCCGGGGCGCAGGAGCCGGCGGGGAGGCCGCGGCCCCGACCGGCCGCCGAGCCGCCCCGCCGCCGCGGCCCAAACGGTCCCGGGCGGCAGAGGCAGCGCGGGCGGGCCGAGGGCGTTGCGCAAGAGGCCGCAGAGGCGCTTCCCGCTGCGCAGGAGGAAGGCGCGGAGCACAGCCGCGGGAAGGCGGGAGGCCACGGAGGCGCGGGGCGTGGGGCAAGGGCTGGGGGAGGGGAGGGCCGCCCGTCGCCCGACCGCGGCCGCGCCGCAACTCACCCAGCTCCGCCGACGAGCGCTACCACTGGCAGCGAGAGGAAGATGGTGGCCGCGCCGCCGCGGAGGAGGGGGCCGGCTGCGCGGAGAGGGGGTACGCGCAGGACGCAGGCGTCGCTGCCACAGCCTCTTCTTCCTCACGGCTCGGGCGGCCGCTGCCGACCACACTGTCCCGGCTTCCGCGCCGCCCTCCTTATCCTCGTTGCAGCCGCCGCCGCCGCCCAAGAACCCGAGGGTCGCTCGCCTCGTGGGGACCGTGCGGCGGCGCGAGACCCCGCAGCCATCGGCGTGCGGCGGCGGCGCGGGGACAGGAACGGGGCCGCGTCACGTGACCCCACTGTTTACCGTTCCGGGGCCACGCCGCGCCTGCGCGCTGCGGCCCTCCGGGGCTTCCGAGGGCGCGGCACCGCCCGCAGGCGGAGGGTTGAGGCTGCACTTGGTCGCTTTTTCTCCACTGCAGTCACCACTAGCGCTTACTAGTTAATGTGATGTTGATGGGCACATCTGCTCCCCCTGAGGTACTTTTTATGAACTGGGTGTGTGTTCCAGAATGGCGGCGAGAGTGGAGCAGATTGAGCGCCTTGCCCAGGAATCCCTCCTGGATTTGCACAACAGCCTCATCATGAACCATCTCGCCCTCACCTAGCTCTGTTAGCTAACTGGTCTACTTCAGGACTCGAGTTGCTTCCACCAAGAAATATTCCTGATCTAAGTTAGCAGTTCTCAAAGCGTGGCCAGAGGATCCCCGGAGGCTTCCCAAGTCCTTTTAGAGGGTCACCAATTCCTTTGTATTTGCATGTGTCTGAGGATGGATTCTATCTCCTTCAACTGATTAAATGCAGAAGCAAATTTGAAAATCCAGCCATCCTCTATTAAGCCAGACATCAAAGAAATTCGAAAAAAATTTATAACAATTTGTTTTGTTGGAAAACGTATTTTTCATATTTACGGTAGCAATAAATTTCGTTGTTTTTAAAATGTTTTCATTGTCCTTAGGTTTAACTTCTAAGACAGTAAATATCAATGCATATAACTAACCCATAAAACAAAAAACCTCGGAAGTGCCTCAGTAATTTTTAACAGTGTATAGTGGTTCTGAGACCAAAAAGTTTGAAAACCGCTTGTGTAGGTTATGTGCTTCCACAGCGGCCTGGGCTACACATAGCTCAGCCCATAATGAGCGCTGTGAGGTAACTGTTTCTAGTCATCACCCTGACCAACATAAGTCCATTAAGGACAGGATTCCTTCCTAACTACAGGACCTAGTAAAACATGATAGCCAACAAGCATCTGCACTTCTAAAACCTCTACTTGTTGATTTAAGCCTCAAGCCAACCTCAGGCCACATTGTAAGATTTAGTGCATTTAGTGCGGAGCAGAATAATAGCTTAGAGGTGTGCGGTGAATATCTGTCCTTTACTGTCTCCGCTATTTCAAGCACTCCCCAAACCAAATGCTCTTTCACAAAGGAAGGTTAGATTGTCCTAGTTCTGGAATCCTAGAAGTCAATCCCCTGTCTTGGGTCATTAATCCCTCAAAACTTTGTTGTACAATTCCTCTTTTTTAAAATTTTTTTGAGAAAGGAAATCAGAAATCAATAGTGAAGATTTCTTTTTTTCACTTGCAATGTTTGGGATGAATTGCAAAAATAAATCTCACTTTATCTTTACTCTTCTCCCGTACCTCAATGTGAAATTTGAAAAAGGGATTAGAAAAGACTAAGATTATTGCCATAAACAATATTGCACCCTAAAGGAATGCAAAACAGTAGAGCTTGAATGGAAAAATCTTCAGATGGAAAGTCCCCTTAGAAGAGCTGAGGAAAATTTGTCAGAGAAATTTTGTGAATTTTTGAAAAAATAAAATGGAGGTAAAAAATACATATATAGGAACCGTAAGCCTGTCACATTTACAAAACAAAGATTTCTAATCCTGAAAAAGCCAAAAGACTTTCCACAAAGCATGATATTTTGACTATTATTTTGAAAAAGCCAAGCTCCCAGATTCACATTTGTCTTACTTTTGCTTCCCAATATAAATACTATGTGTCTTTTACCCAGTCTATTAGCCTGTGCAATTTATGCTGGGAGAGAAGAGTTGAATCTACAATAGAGAAGGTAGTTGAGAATGCCTCCTCTCACTACAAAATACGAG